CATGAATAAAAGAAAATATCACCTGTGACCCTACCGTGTGCACTTGGAGAAGGACATTGAAACACATCCAAACAGGGGCAATCTCTAAGCTGTGCCCCTCCCAATCTTAGCACCCAGGGACGATCTCTAAGCTGCGCCCCCGCATTTGAGTGCCCAGGGGCAATCTCTAAGCTCTGCCTCCCACCCCCAATTTGAGTCCCCAGGGGCAATCTCTAAGCTGTACCCCCACCCCCGTTTGAGTGCCCAGGGGCAGTCTCGAAGTTGTGCCCCCACACAATCTTCTTTCTTCCACCTCTTCTAGTAGAATTGGTACCCTGAATTTGGTTTTCTATTTGCTGAAGCTTGGTAATCAAGAGTAGCAAAGACAAGTTTAAAGGCGTAGAAGCAAATAAGGGTTCTTCCTTACAAGGGGGCAAGACAGCAGTGTTAGATCAGTACTGTCTTGGGGCCAAGATGGATCGCTAGATCAATGGACCCAAACTTCAAAGTGGATTCACCCATTTATGGGACACTGGGCTGTGCCTCAGCCTGGTGTTACAAGTCAGTGGGAAACGAATAGACTTGTCCATAAATTGGGCTTAGAAAGTCCTCTCCCCACAAGAAAAAGTAAAATTAGATTCCCACAATATATTAGCCACGAAAATGAAGTCTGTGTGTATTAGGGACCTAACTGTGAAACACTGAACTTCAGAACTTTTAGCATAAAATACAGAGGAATATCTTTCTGGTCTTCGAATATGAAGGATTTCCTAAACATGTCCCAAAAAGCATCATCATAAAGGAAAAATGGAGCTGGGCTGTATAATAGTCTCCTAGAGCTGCCATAACAAATTATCACGAAGGGGTGGCTCAAAACACGGAGGTTTATTGTCAAAACAACAGAGATTTATTGCCTTGCCATTCTGGAGCTGGGAGTCTGAATTCAGGGGGTTGGGAGGACAAAGTTTTTTTTTTTTTCCTAGAAGAAGATCCTTTCTTTTCTTTCTTGGCTTCTGGTAGCCTCAGATGTTCCTTATCTTACAGCTGTGGCATAGTTCTGTGTCATATGGCCATCTTCCCTGTATGTCTCTCTGTCTCTTCTCTTTTATAAGGACATCACTCAGAGTGGATTAGGGCCCACCCCACTTCAGTATGACCCCGTGTGAACTGATAACGTCTTCAAAGACCCTATTTCCACACAGGGTCATGTTCACAGGTACTAGGGGTTAAGCCTTCAACATTTCCTTTGGGAGACACGGTTCAATCCATAACAGGCCTGTTACTTCACTACTCATTATTTTTCTGTAATCGGTTTAAGTAAAGAGCTGGTGTTATGGGATCTTGCAATTATTAAGACATTTATAAAATACCGCTTCTTTGGACTCTCTTTTGGAGTATTGCTTAGTTAGATGGTAAGGAGGCATCTTGAGAACACTTTCAGAAAGGAAAATTGGAGGCAGTCTCGTGGGTGTGGGGCAGAACTGGGAAGCTAATTTCTCTCAGGAAATTTATCCATTGTATTTGCCGAGATCAAATGATATAAGTTACTTTTATCCCAGATTTCTCCTCCCGCTCTCTGCCCCCTCACCAATGGAATATTCTTTTCTTAGGCCCCTGATGATTTTAATTTGCATCTTCTGAAAAGTTAATTGCAGGAACACATTGCAGTAGCTTCAGTTCTAGAAGGCCAGCCTAGTGTCTATTTTGTAATGTTTGACTGGACAGATTTTCAGACTCACAAACAATCATTTTCTTGGGATTATTGACTCTGCTGATCATGCCTCATCATTCTTCTGGCCTTCTCAGTTGTAAACAAGTCTCAAGGGACCGGGAAACATTTCTCAGACAGAGTAAAACATACTTCCCCTCACACATACTTGTAGTTTTTTTTTTTTTTTATTAGAGATTTAACAGGAAAGAACATTACTCTTGTTGCAGCCACTGTGTCAGTCCATCTCATTGAGAGTCTTCCTCTTTTTCGCTGACCCTGCACTTTACCAAGCATGATGTCCTTCTCCAGGGACTGATCCCCCCAATAACACGTCCAAAGTATGTGAGACAAAGTCTTGCCATCTTCGCTTCTAAGGAGCATTCTGGTTTGTGCTCCTTGCAAGACAAATTTATTCATTTTTGTGGCAGTCCATGGTATATTCAGTGTTCTTCCCCAACACCACAATTCAAAGCCATCAATTCTTCGGTCTTCCTTATTTATTGTCCAGCTTTTGCATGCATATGAGGTGATTGAAAACACCATGGCTTGAGTCAGGCATACCTTAGTCTTCAAGGGGACGTCTTTGCTTTAAAGAGGTCTTTTGCATCAGATTTGCCCAATGCAATGCATCTTTTGATTTCTTGACTGCTGCTTCTATGAATGTTGATTGTGGATCCAAGTAAAATGAAATCCTTGACAACTTCAATCTTTTCTCCATTTATCATGATGTTGCTTATTGGTGCAGTTGTGAGGATTTTTGTTTTCTTTATGTTGAAGTGTAATCCATACTCAAGGCTGTGGTCTTGGATCTTCACCAGTAAGTGCTTCAAGTCCTCTTCTCTTTCAGCAGGTAAGGTTGTGCCATCGGCATATCGCAGGTTGTTAATGAGTCTTCCTCCAATCCTGATGCCACGTTCTTCTTCACGTAGTCCAGCTTCTTGGATTATTTGCTTAGCATACAGATTGAATAAATTGAAAGGATACAACCCTGACACACACCTTCCCTGACTTTAAACCTTGCAGTATCCCCTTGTTGTATTTGAACGACTTGATCTATGTACGGTTTCCTCGTGAGCACAATTAAGTGTTCTGGAATTCCTATTCTTCCCAGTATTTTCCATAAGTTGTTATGATCCACACAGTCGAATGCCTTTGCATAGTCAGTAAAACACAGGTAAACATCTTTCTGGTATTCTCTGCTTTTAGCCAGGATCCATCCGACATCAGCAGTGACATCCCTGGTTCCACGTCCTCTTCTCAATCCGGCTTGAATCCAGTCTCTCACACGGAAGGCAAGAATTCTACCCCTGAACCACCAGTGCCCCACTCCATAAATCCTTTCATAAAGCTACATAAACATTCCTCCTTTCCTGTCGGTGATATTATTATGGCGAAACGTGTTTTATTAAGAATGGATTTTTCAAGTAACTGAAGTTTACTGTCTTGGTTCCAAACTTAAACAAGAAAGAAATCACTATGAATAATGGGATTTTTTCTTACATTGAACTTGGGAGCTCTCTTTTTCTTCAGGAGGATCAGGACAATCGCTCTGCTGGTGTCATGCCACGTGCCTATAGGGTCTGGATGAGCTTCTTGTGTCTCTGTCTCTCCCCTGAATGTGGGCAGCTCTCCTTTCTCCTGCCGACTGTGCCGGGGACTAGCTCTAGATCTGACCCTTCTCCCTCTTCCCCGACAGCGCCTTCTTTTTTCAGTTGTTTGCAGTGGTTCTGAAAACCGTATTTCCAAATGAGAATATTATTAATGTAAACATTGTGTTTCCTTGCTTGTTTTTCAAAACTCTCCCAGTAAAGCAGAGAGTTTGAAATAGTGTAAAATCCTAGATTTGAACTTGGACCTGTTCGACGTTTGGAATAAAGCCCAGAAGGTCGGGGTAAAGGTGGTGATTGTTTGTAGTGATGTGAGTCCCTGAGTGGGAAGACAGTGTCTCTGCATTTTATACCGAACCCTCAAGTGTCATCATCCGTTCTTTTCTGGCGGTCTTCATTTCGGACCTAAGATTATACTAAGATTTCTGAGACTACCTTTGATGGGCAGAGGAGTGAGAGAGGGAGGGGAAGGGGCTGTGGTTCCAGAAAAGACCAGCTCACTGGTCAGGGTAGGAGGTAGCACTGCTATGGGGGAGGGAGGGTGAGAAGAAACTGGAAGGGAACTTCAGGAACCCTTGTGGGCATCCCTCTGGTATCCACCCGTGGAGAGTCCACCTTTCAACCAGAGTCTGGAAGTGTTATGGACTGAATTGTATCCCTCCAGAATTTGTGTTGGAATCCTCACCCCTGTATCTGTGGAGGAGCCCTGGTGGTCAGCAGTTGGAATCCACCAGCTTCTCCTTGGAAGCCCTACAGGGTAGTTCTCCTCTGTCCTATAGGGTCACTGTGACAATGGGTTTGGTTTTTTGGCGGGCGGGGGGGGGGATATCTGTGGGTATAATCCTATTTGGCAGTAAAGTCTTTGTTAGGTTAATGTGGTCACCTCATTGTAGGGTGTGTCCTAAACCTAATCTCTCCTGACTATAAAAAGAGCAGATTACGTTCTCTGGTAAGCTTCAGGCCTTCAACTGATTGGATGAGGTCCACCCACCTTATCCAAGGTAATCTCCTTTACTAAAAGTCAAGTCAGTGTGGATGTTAAACCCATTGCCATGGAGTCCATTTCGACTCACGGCAACCCAAGAGGGCAGAGTAGAAATGCCCCCTAGGGTTTCCAAGGCTGCAATCTTTATGGATGGTTAAGTAGAAGATCAGTGAAAAAGAGGAAGACCCTCAACTAGAAGGAATGACACAGTGGCTGCAGCAATGGGCTTAAGCATAATAACAATTGTGAATAATAACAATTGTGAGGATCGTGCAGTACCAGGCAATGTTTCGTCCTGTTGTACATGGGGTCACTGTGAGTTCAACAACAATCTTTATGGAAGCAGACTGCCACATCTTTCTCCCAAGGAGCAGCTGGTAGGTTCAAACTGTCAACCTTTCACTGTGCCTCCAGGGCTCCTTTTGTAGATGTTAACCATATCTGAAAAATACACTCACAGCAACATCTAGACTAGTGTTTGAGCAGACATCTGGGCAGTGAAGCCTGGCCAAGTGAACACACCCCTCAATATCCTCTTGGCTTATTCCCTCACCTCCTCCACATCTTGGCCCCATGTCATCTTCTCAGCGAGGCCCACCGAAGCCAGCATCTTTGCTACTGAAACACATCCCAGCCCTGCATGCTCAGCCTCCCCTACCATATCCAACTTTCTAACGTACTCCCTAATTTGTATATTTATATGTCATGTCTGCAGGGCATGGTCTTCTTCCCCCCATTAGAAGGCAAGCTCCAGGAGGCAGACATCTTGGTCACTGATGTTTCCCAGGCACGATGCCTGGCTCATAGCTGGCTCAATACGCATTTGAGAATGAAGGAGTAGCTGGCCTACTCTGAACCGTCACTGAGAACCAGGCCTTAGGGTTCTCTGCACTCCCACTGCTGTGCTGTGGCCACCTGTCCTAGCCCTCCCTGAGGGGCGGTGGGGCTCCCTGGGGGCTGCCATGCTGTGATTGGTAATGCTCGGTCTCTGCCCTCTGACCACTTCCTCTTTCGTTTCTAGACTGGCCTTATTGTTGCCTGCTACCACGGCTTCCTGGATACTGTGGTAGCCTTAGCAGAGTGCCCCCACATTGACGTCAACTGGCAGGACCTCGAGGGGAACACGGCCCTCATCGTGGCTGCACAGGCAGGTAAGACCCGGCCGGACCCCTAGCATCTGCCGAAAGCAGCTGCTGTGCAGCATGGGGGGCTTGTGCTTCACCTGAGCTCATGAGTTTGATGAAGGAAGTGTGGAAATTGACAAGAAAAGATGTTCTGCTACACACAGGTGCAGGACAAGGGCTGATGAGCATGAGTTCCCATTCTCTTTTTGCATTAGAAACAGTACAGTGTTAACCCACTTGTGCAGAATTCAATATTGGACAGATCTAGCTCCGATACTGTCTTTCAGTATGAAGCTGCACCAGAAACCCAATCTTGGCACCACTGCACCTACAACACCACACCCCACCCGGCCCTTGAGGACAGGGCAGAGCCAGATGCTGGTGAACTCACTAGTGGCACAGACATTCTCATGTGTTTTACCCATAGTTAATGTATGAAAGCAGACATACACAGAAGGTAACGGCAAAACATTTGGCCAACTACGAGTTTAGAGGGAGCAGAGTCCACAAGACTACCTCACTTCTGACACCAACTGCAAGTTCAGGGGTCTCCCAGAACTACCCCTCAGGCTTGATAATTGACTAGCAGGACTCACAGAACTCACTGAAAGCTGTTATGCTCATGGTTATGGTATATTACAGGGAAAGGATACAGATTCATCAGCCAAGGGGAGAAGTACATAAGGCATAGTTCAAGAGAGTCCAGTAGAGCTTCCATTCTCCTCTCCCGAGGAGTGAGGGTGCATCACCTTGCAGGTATCCATGTGTGATGATATGCATGGTGTATTGCCAACCAAGGAAGCTCACCTGTGCTTTGACGTCCAGGGTTTTTATTGGGGTTCCATTATATAGGCAGGTTTCTGGGAGGCACAGTTTGCACTTGACTACTAACCAAAAGCTGGCAGTTCAGACCCACTCAGCAACACCATGGAAGAAAGGCCTGACGATCTGCTTCCATTAAGATTATAGCCAAGAAAATCCTATGGAGCAGTTCTACTCTGTAACACATCAGGTTGCCATGAGTCTAAATCGACTAAATGGCAAAGGTTTTTGTTTTTGTTTTTTTTAATTATGTAGGCATAATTAATTGATTGCCCATGTGGTTGATCTCAGTCTCCAGGCCAATTGATACTTTGTGACTCGTAGCCCCTGCCCTAAATAACAGGGTTGGACATTCTGGCATGGTCAGTCAGCCCCCACCCTAAATCCCGTTGTTACTATCTGGCTAGCCCAAAGCCTGCAGGCAAACAAAGATTGCTTCCTAGGAGTTTAAGGCAAAGGCCAGACCTCTTTCTGGACAAGGTTAAGTTGTTTCTTATAGAATTTAATCTTATAGATTTAAAGAAAATCTAGGAACTGCTCTTGTAGCTCTTAGAGTACCCATGTAACAAGGTAGGATAGATAAACCAGGGAGAGAGTCTTGTAGTATGTGTCCGAGTAAGTGTCCTTCCGCCCTTGATGGTCATCTTGAGAGGCCAGTACTTACGCCATCATTGCCAAGTGCATGGTGGATCTCCTCTTTCAGAATTGTATTCAGGCTGTTTTTAAGACCCACATGAAAGCTACGCTTGTCCCTTCATAATTACACTTCACTTATAACCAATGGCATGAACCAGGCTTATAGCTGACCACATTCAAAATAATTGTAACCATGGTGTGAAACCAGGCTTATAGCTGACAGGCGTTCAAAATATTTGCAACCATCGCGTGAACCAAGTTCACAGCTGACCACGTTCAAAATACTTGGCTTCCAAAGATTCTGTCTATTTCATCAGTCAGGTTCTCAGTTGGAAACAAAGAAGCCAACTTTGGTAAAATCAGGAAGAAAGGGGGTTTGCTCCTTAATGGAATGTGGGACAGCTCATGGAGCTGTTAGGAATCTAGAGAATTGGACGCAGGGTGAGGAAGCCCACCTCATGGACCTGGTAAGGAAGTTTCTGCCCTTGCCTCCAGCGAGAGTCTGCCCTGCTCCTTCCTGCACCAGGAGCCCCTGTGTCAAGGGCGTTGTGGGTGTATGAGACTGTGGGGGGCAGGTAGACAGGACAAGCCAGTGTCTGGCAGCGTCAACCCCCTAGTGGGAGGTGGTCTGTGCACCTGATTTTCCAACAAGATGCACAGGTAGAGACCCGTCCAAAGTAGAAAGGCATCCGAGGCCGTGCTCCTGAAATTCACTTCTTATTTTCCAAGCGTGGTGCTTTGCCTCGATCGTGGATGCTCCGGCTTTGAAAGCCCGGTTCCCAGCTTCTACAGCAAGATCATAAAGGGCCATTGCGATTCGGTCAGTGGCTCCCGGGATTCTGGCTCATTGAAGAGGCATCATTGCCCCCCATGGGCCAGGCACTGGGTGGGACCTGGATACAGACATGAAGGGCAGTTCTGCCCTTGAGGAAGTCTCCAGGTGACAGAGGACCAACCAGCCATCCCTTCATTCTGAAATGTTTATTGAGCACTGACCACAAGTGGGAGTCCTTGGGTAGTGCAAACAGTTGATACATTTGGCTGCTATCTGAAAGGTAGGAGGTTCAAATCCAACCAGAGGTACCTCAGAAGAAAGGTCTGGCAATCTACTTCCAAAAAACCAGCCACTAAAAACCCTATGGAGCACAGTTCTACTCTGAGACACATAGGGTCACCAGGAGTCAGAGCTGATTTGATGGTAACAGGTTACTGATGACTATAAGTCAGGCACTGTGCTTGGAGAATGGAGTCCTGGTGGTGCAGTGGTTAAAGCATTCAGCTGCTAACTGAACAGTCAGCAGTTCAAAAACACCACCAGCTCCATGGCAGAAAGATGTGGCAGTCTGCTTCTGTAAAGATGTACAGCCTTGGGCATTCACCTGGAGAATGGGAACCAGACAAGGATGCCCTTTATCACCACTCTTATTCAACATTGTGCTGGAGCTCCTAGCCAGAGCAATAAGGCAAGAAAAAGAAATAAAGGGCATCCAGATTGGTAAGGAAGAAGTGAAAGTATCCATATCTGCAGATGATATGATCCTATACACAGAAAACCTCAAAGAATCTATAAGAAAACTACTAGAACTAATAGAAGATTTCAACGAAGTATCAGGATACAAGATAAGCATACAAAAATCAGTTGGCTCCTTTTACACCAACAAAGAGAACTTCAAAAGGAAATCACCAAGTCAATACCATTTACGATAGCCCTCAAGAAGATAAAATACTTAGGAATAAACCTAACCAGAGACATAAAAGAGTTATATAAAAAAAACTACAAAACACTACTGCAAGAAACCAAAAGAGACCTACATAAGTGGAAAAACATACCATGCTCATGGATAGGAAGACTCAACATTGTGAAAATGTCAATTCTACCCAAAGCGATCTACAGATACAATGCAATCCCGATCCATATTCCAACAGTAATTTTTAACAAGGTGGAGAAAAAAATCACCAACTTCGTATGGAAAGGGAAGAGTTCCCAGTGGGAGGCCTTACACTACCTGATTTTAGAACCTATTATACTGCCATGGTAGTCAAAACAGCCTGGTACTGGTACAACAAACAGACACATAGACCAATGGAACAGAATTGAAAACCTAGATGTAAATTCATCCACCTATGAGCAGCTGGTATTTGACAAAGGCCCAAAGTCTGTTAAATGGGGAAAAAACAGTCTCCTTAACAAATGGTACTGGCATAACTGGATATCTGTTTGCAAGAAAATAAAACAAGACTGTCATGGATTCAATTATGTCCCCCCAAAATATGCATATCAATTTGGCCAGGCTGTGGTTCCCAGTGCTGTGTGATTGTCCACCATTTTTTCATCTGTTGTGATTTTCCTGTGTGTTGTAAATCCTACTTCTATGATGTTAATGAGGTGGGATAGGTGGAAGTTATGTTAATGAGGCAGGACTTAATCTACAAGATTGGATTGTCTTGAGCCAATTTCTTTTGAGATACAAGAGACAAGCAAGCAGAGAGACAGGGGAACCTCATACCACCAAGAAAGCAGTGCCAGGAGCAGAGCACGTCCTTTGGATCCAGGGTTCCTGCGGGGAGAAGCTCCTAGTCCCGGGGAAGATTGATGACAAGGACCTTCCTCCAGAGCCAACAGAGAAAGCCTTCCCCTGGGGCTGACACCCTGATTTTGGACTTGTAGCCTACTAGGCTGTGAGAGAATAAACTTCTGTTTGTTAAAGCCATCCACTTGTGGTATTTCTGTTATAGCAGCACTAGATGGCTAAGACAAAGACCTATACCTCATACCATGTACAAAAACTAACTCAAATAGCAAAATGATGGAAACAACCTAGATGCCCATCAACAGTTGAATGGATAAACAAACTGTGGTACATACAAACAATGGAGTACTATGCAACAAGAAAGAACAATGATGAATCTGTGAAGAATCTCATAACATGGATGAAACTGGAGGACATTATGCTGAGTGAAGTAAGTCGATCACAAAACGACAAATATTGTATGAGATCACTCTTATAAGAACTCAAGAAAAGGTTTAAGCACAGAAGAAAACATTCTTTGATGTTTATGAAGGTGGGGAGTAAGGGAGAGGGGAATTGACTAACTAGATAGTAGACAAGAATCATCTTAGGTGAAGAGAAGGATAACACACAGTATAGGGGAAGTCAGCACAACTGGACTAAAGCAAAAGCTAAGAAGTTTCCTGGACACAACCAAACAAGGGCAGGGGTCTGGAGACCATAGTTTCAGAGGACATCTAGGTCGATTGGCATAACAAAGTTTATTAAGAAAATGTTCTGCATCCCACTTTGGTGAGTGGCATCCGGGGTCTTAAAAGCTAGCGAGTGGCCATCTAAGATGCATCAGTTGGTCCCAACCCACTTGTAGCAAAGGAGAATGAAGAACACCAAAGACACAAGGAAAATATTAGCCCAAGAGACAAAAGACCCACATAAACCAGAGACTCCATCAGCCTGAGACAAGAAGAACTAGATGGTGCCTGGCTACCACCAGTGACCACCCCGACAGGGAACACAATAGAGAGTCCCTGATGGAGCAGGAGAAAGTTAGGGTGCAGA